ATATATATATATATATATATATATATATATATATATATATATATATATATGTATATATATATATCTTTTTTCCTTAAGTCTGGTATTATTATACTGATACTTTTCGGTTTCTATACGAAGAAAAATATATAAGAAAATATAAAACAATCTCCGAGCGATCATGAAACCCTTAAAAAGTTATATCCTCCTTTCGCATAATTTTTTTACAACAAAACTCAAAATTTTTTAATTTAGTGTTCAAAATTAGAGAAATGTCAGACCGATGATTACTGCTTGAGGTCTGACGGCCAAGCCACCGATCGTGTGTGATATTGCCTCCAGAACGCGCGCGCGTGCACGCCCATACTAGAGATAGTTCCTAGTTTTAATCCTTCATAACTTGACTAAAAAATAAAATATTGAAATAAAAAAAATATATTTTAAAGGGGATGAACAATGCATTTATGATTTCTAATCAGAATTTTAAGATAACTTTTAAGATTACTCTTTCTTACAGAAAAACATCAAATATCCCAAAAAAACCCGTTTTATGCATATTAAATCTCAAGTATTATGGAAACTTGATGTACTTGTGAAATTTGGTTTACGAAATCGTTTTCGACATCCAAAAATCTATAAGAAATATCTTGTCTGATTCAAAATAATTTTTGGCTGTAAACAGTGTAATTAATTTAATGGTTATATTTTACAGACACATGGTATCACACCGTAATAAAATGGTAGCTTGTGATGAATGCGGTGAAGAGTTTCCAGACGGACGAGCTCTCGTGAGCCATCGTCATTCGCATAATAAGGATCTGGGTGGCCGTTCCTTCCCGTGCCGTGAATGCGGCAAGACCTTCGGCAGCCGCAGCTCACAACAGATTCATATACGTATTCATACAGGCGAAAGACCATATGGTTGTCGGTTTTGTTGGAAGGCATTTGCCGATGGTGGCACTTTGAGAAAGCACGAACGTATTCACACTGGCGAGAAGCCCTACGGTTGCGCCATTTGTCCTCGAGCTTTTAATCAGAGAGTGAGTTTATCGTTTAGCTATGTGAAAATGCAAATAATAAATGCACATTTTATTAAACAAAATTTTTAAATAGTGATAATTTTATTAAAATCATGTTTTTTATACTTTAATGATGTTAACTTTTTGTGGTAAGAAACAAGGTTATATAATATAGAATCCAACTTGAATTACAACTGTGTGTGTGTGTGTACACGCGCGTGTATATGTCAATGATTACAAAATAATTAACATAATTTCCAAGTAATATAATGTAATATTATTATGCAGGATATGAGATAATTTAAAACGCAGTATTATTGAGATAAAATCATATTATATCCTAAAATATATTATTTAAAATATTTTCGACACACACACACACACACACACACATACATATATATATATATATATATATATATATATATATATATATATATATATATATTCCTATTTCTGAAAATATCTTGAAAAGACACACGAATAATTAGAGATTAAATATATTTATTTTATTTATTATATTATAGGTGGTCCTTAGAGAGCATGTGCGCGCTCATCATTCTGGACCAGATCCTAAATGCGTAGGTAGCGCGACGCCATTTTTATGTAAGGTATGCGGTGAAGCATACGGCACCTCTGAGGAAATAGTAGCTCATATTGTGCAGCATTGCGATGACAACACAGCGTTAAGGCGTCAGCCGCAAACCGGGCCACGCAAGTATAAAAGAAGACGCAAGCTGAAACCTCATGAGACCAATACAATATTGCGCAGAAACGAGTTGTACGACATTATAGAAGGTGGTGATGGTGATGGCGGCGATGGCAGTGTTGGAATTGGAATTGGCGATGGCGGTGGCGGAGGCGGTGGCGGTAGCGATGGCGATGGCGATGGTTGTGGCGGTGGCAGTGGCGGTGGCGGTGGCGATGGCGGTGGCGGTGGTGGTGGTGGTGGTGGTGGCAGTGCCAGCGGTGGTAACGGAGGTTCTGATTCTGAAGAAAATATGAAACGGAAACTTGGTCGTAAAAACAAACAACATAGATCCAATGTTGAGGAAGGCTATCAGAATGTGTTGAAAAGTTTTGAAAGTTCGCTGCAGAATATAAACTCAATCGTTAGTAACTCTAAATTGAATACATCAAAGTCGAAACTTTCAAAAAAAAAGTTGCGCAAAGAGGAAAAGAAAAGTGAGACGCAGGCGTCGAATCAATCAGGCCGACCGAAAATGATCCACACGCAAAAGACGCGAGTGCCGGTGGAGGTAGGTAGCGACGGCGTAAAAAAGGGACAGAAAACAAAAACAATGGTGACACGAACGCCGAAAGTCATGCCAAATGAACACAAAGTAGGAATTTTTCCGAGCGGTGAGCGGAATCGACCACGTACTAAAAATGTTAGTTACCATATTGAGGGCAAACAGCAACTCTCACCGGCGACATTCTCAAAGATGAAGGAGGAAGTAGATTCAACGTCGACACAACAGCAGCAACAATCGCAGCAGCAACTATTGCTGGCTAACATTAAGGTTGAATTAGGCACACAAAAAATAGCGCCTACAGGTGACAGTCACAGGAATAATAACGGTAATATGCTTGCTCTTGTCAAGAATGATTCGCAGACGAAGAAGAAATCAACTGCCTTAAAGAAATCTAAAAGACAGAAACATATAATAAAACAAGAACGCTCGGATACATCCGAGTCAGGTATAGAAGAACAGGAACAGCAACAACATCAAGAGCATCACTTACAATTACGAAACAACAACAGTGTGATGGAAAACAGAAGTGCTCATGCACGAATGATGGAGCATGCAATGGATGGCAGTAACTTAGAAGTGGCCTTTGAGGCGAGCGTCGTAACTGCAGAAGGCCATGAGGATGAGGACGACGATGAGGAAGAGGAGAGCATTTTGCCTGACACCGGGGAAGAAATCGGCAATGGAGATGTTAAACTCAGTGTGAAGGTGGAATCAGCACCACAACGGATGCTGGCTGTTCATAGTGTTATCACACCGGTAGATGATGTTCCAGAGACGATAATACCGGACGCTGTGGAATATACATGCGAAATGTGTGCGGCAGTGTTTTCAAGCCGCGCAGAGTTATTGGTCCATGTACCGATACACATTTGATTTGATTTAATTTGTCCAAGTTGATCAGCATAGAGGTTTGTTCTACTTTAAGAATACTTATTTAATCAAATCGGATACCTTTATCACAATCGATAAGGGTTGTTATTTCCCAGGAAACAACAACAGTCGTTGGTTTTCATTAATCTATCCTATTTCTTCCGCGTTTCCATCTTCCTTTCTACTTACTATATCGTTCTTTCAAGCGTAATGATTTTATCTACCACCCATTATGCCGTCAGCTGCATTTTCCGAATTTTTGTGTTTCGCGTGGTAATGGAAGGTTTATACTAGATGAATAATAAGAAACAAAACACTTAATATCTCTGTTAAGTTTGAAGATAGATAAAAATATCTAAGACGCACTGTTTAAAGAGGTAAATTGTATAATATAAAGAACGTTCCTTTTCTAAATTTCAAGATCGTTTTTTATGGAATTATCGTTTTCTTTTTGTTTTAAATCAACTTTACTTACCAGTTTGCATATAAAAGTAATAAAATTACCGAAAAATAAATATTTTGCAAAATATTTCATATTTTATTTTATGATACTTCTTGATATAAAATATGAAATATTTTATGAAATATTTGTATTTTATCTTAATACTATTATTTATATATATACACTATATATTATATATACAGGGTATAGCAAAAGTACCGGAACGGCAAGATAACTCGGCGGGGGAGCATTTTAGAGAAAAATGTTTCAGACAAAAGTTGTAAGGCTTAAAAAAACGCATTCAACGATAGTAGTTATTTGACATAGGATGGCGTCGCCAAGGTCAGAACAAGGTCAACTTTGCTTTTTTAAATAGAAACACATATTTTTTATTACGGCATTTTATTCAACGTAAAAACGCAAACAACTTTTGCT